GGTTTCTTCACGCTTCTCTTACCTATCTTCTTCTTCTTAGATTTCTCCATCGATCTCGAACTTGAGACCATTCACGTTTCTTTGCATTCTGATTGTATATCTTGACTTCCAAGTCAATTTTCTGATTCCATTTTTTTCTCTTCGATTCGAGAAGTAAACAGGGGAATGAATTCCAGATCTGAAGCCCCCAAATCCAATATCTAACAAATTCATATTCGAATTTCTCAATCGATTCAATTTTTTTGTGTAACAATGGTGACGATCAAATTGGGTATGGTCCATTACGTAATCGACCATGTATACGGAGCGTTTATGCACCGCACCAAGTTATCTCCACAGTTCTTCTCCCGAGGATGGGGTGGTCCGAAGCTGGAACTCCTCGAGCGGATGGCTAAGAAGCTCTTCCCGCTTGATGTCGAAGGTCAGAATTGGCCACCGGCTTTGGTCCGACCAGTTTGGAGGACTATCTGGGAGACAAAGACCGCTTGTCTCAGAGAAGGTGTTTTTCAGACTCCTTGCGATGATGAGCTAACCGCTGCTTTGCCTCCTGAGTCTCGTACCGCGAGGGTTGCTTGGCTTGTCCCCAAAAACGTTCCTCCTCAAAAGATGGCTTGTGTGGTTCATCTTGCAGGTAGCAACATTACAGATTCTTGTGTGCTTAGATAATGGAACCTGTTCGATTCGGAATCTTATTGAATTTGGTGTATTAAAACCTAGGAAAGAGATTTCACAGGCATATGCTTTATTGTGGAATGTTTTGCATTGTTGTAGGCACAGGTGATCATACATATGACCGAAGATTGCGTTTGGGTGGACCGTTAGTGAAACAAAACATTGCAACGATGGTGCTGGAGAGGTAATAGAAGAGACTTTTTCTAAGCTTTAGAGCAAACGTTTTTGCTTTGACCGCTTTTGAAGCTTTTTTGCCATGTTTTTGATCAAACATAGATAATGCCACTGCAGCCCTTTCTATGGCCAAAGGCGTCCGTTTCTACAGCGTGGCGCGAGACTCCTATGTGTTAGTGATCTGCTTTTACTAGGGAGGGCAACAATCGAAGAGTCACGCAGTCTTATTCACTGGCTAGACATTGAGGAAGGCTTTGGAAAGATGGGTGTTTGTGGGCTTAGTATGGGTAAGTAACACATTTTTCTTGTCGGCTTATACGAAAAATCTGTGAGCTATTGCATTGGGTTAAATTGGATGAATTACTGTTAGATCTGCAATTTCGCCAAGATTTGTGGAAACTTAAAATGTGTTGTGGATGTTTTCTAGAATATATGGTCTGGGATAAGTTTCCTGCAAAAGTTGTGGGGATGGTTATTGGCTTTGTAAACTAAAGTCGCGCTGTAGCTGCTTCGCGTTACCATTTCGTTATAAGCATTAGCATAGCTTCAAAATCCTGAATAAGCTTCTCAAACACATGTGCACCCCATAGGTTCAAGTGTTAGGATTAGACTGAGAACCATATCTTTGAACTGCATCCATCGAGGGATCTTATGTGGTTGCATCTCCATGTATTGACTGTGTTGTTTTATCTTTTTAATTTCACCGAAACTGAATTAAGTTTGATGAATATATGAAGGAGGAGTACATGCTTCGATGGTTGGATCGCTTCATCCAACACCAGTTGCAACACTTCCTTTCTTATCACCGCACTCTGCGGTTGTTGCATTCTGCGAAGGAATATTAAAGTATGGAACAGCTTGGGAGGCACTGAGGGAAGAACTTGCTGCAGAGAAGATCACAATGACTCTTGAAGAAGTGAGAGAGCGGATGAGAAATGTTCTATCCCTCACAGATGTCACTCGCTTCCCGATCCCCAAAAACCCCGATGCTGTTATCTTTGTTGCTGCAACAGTAAGTAGACAAAAACCAAACCATAACTCACAAACTTCGACAAATTTAGTACATACAATGCTGATATATACATGACTCTGTTCTTAGGATGATGGATACATACCGAAACACTCGGTGTTGGAGCTTCAAAAGGCATGGCCAGGCTCAGAAGTGAGATGGGTTACAGGTGGACACGTATCCTCCTATATTCTGCACAATGGTGAGTTTCGCAGAGCAATCGTTGATGGTCTCGATAGATTAAACTGGAAGGAGTCATGGTGACTTAACACATAACACAACCCCTTTGTAACACAGAGGGAAGGGGTATTTATGTAAATGTCTTAAAATCTCCTCTTCTTGTTGTATCATTGGTTTCTGTTTTAAGGATAAGATTCGATTCGCTTTCAAAAGTGGTGGGTTCTAAGGCATGCGCAAATGGTTTTTTTTAAGCGTGTTCTTAGAATATAAAATTATTAAAATTTGAGTAAAAAGAAGAAAGAGAATGTTTTTGTTTGAGTAAAGAGAAGAAATAGTGGATGTGTTTAAATATAAAATTAATAAAAGTTGAGTAAAAGGAAGAAGAGTGTTTATAAATAAGAACTTTTGGAGAGTGTTCTTAAAATGATGAGAGAGTGTTTAAATATAAAATTAATAAAAGTTGAGTAAAATGATGAAAGAGAAAGTGAAAAATTGAGTAAAAAGAAGAGAGAGTGTGTGTTTTAATAATTTTATAGTTAAGAACTTGGCTAAGAACTAAGCATTGCACATGCCCTAAAATATTATTTGGCTTGTGCATTGTATTGTCTTTTTGTCTCGACACACATCAATGATTTTAGGTGTCTTCACTCATTACATTTCCATTACTAAATATCATTTTCATAAAATCTTTTAACACTATTTTTCTTTGATAAAGTGTCATGTTTGTTATTACACATGACTTACTCGTGTAGAGATGCATCATGCATGTTACTGAACTCAACTCGCTATGCAACAAATGGTGTTGGTTGCAATGACTAATGTACGACCAAATTATTAAACCGAGAGAATCAAAGTTGTTCCAACCAAACTTTCAAAAATAGTTGATGTATTTACCGCCATTATGAATTAAAATTATTTCAAGAAACGAATATTGTACGTTGGGAAGAGTGTAAAACCCTAGTTGTACAGAATTAGAAACATCTGTGGTCCATTGAAATCACTGTCTATATATCAGAAGCTTAGCTTCACTTCACTAAGCAACCACACACACAAGTCACAATGAAGATTCTTCTTAATCTCTGTATCTTCTTCTCCATACTCTTCATCTCTCTCTCATCTTCTTACAGCTGCGGTTTAGATGACAATAATGCCCTCCTTCAAATCAAGAAATCCCTTAACAACCCTCCACTTCTCTCCTCTTGGAACCCCAAAACCGACTGTTGTACCAGCTGGACCGGCGTCGAATGCACTGACCGCCGCGTCACCGCCCTAACCATCTCCTCCGGCAAAATCTCCGGCCAGATTCCGGCCCAGATCGGTGACCTACTTGACCTCCGTACACTCGATTTCAGTTACCTGACACATCTCACCGGAAACATCCCACGAACCATCACCAAACTCAAGAACCTTGAGATTCTCCGGTTAAAGAAAACCAGTCTCTCCGGTCCGATTCCTGATTACATCAGCGAACTTAAGAGCGTTACGTTCTTGGACCTTTCCTTTAACCATTTTACCGGTCCGATCCCCGGTTCTCTTTCTCTGATGCCGAAGCTTGAAGCCATTCAGATCAACGATAACAAATTAACCGGTTCTGTACCGAACTCTTTCGGTTCTTTTGTTGGCAACGTCCCTAATCTCTACTTGTTTAACAATAAGCTCTCAGGTAACCAAAAACTTTTCTTAATCTTTTTCTTTTTTGTTAATCTAATAATTTTGGTCAAAAAAATTATTTATGAGCCCTGTGAGTTAAAAATGTTTCTGACTTCTTTGTAACCAAAAAGTAATTATATTTTAAGATCTCGCACCAAATTTTGTTTGATAAGTTTATCAATGACTTTGTCTTGCAAGGGAAAATACCGGAATCTTTGTCAAAGTACGACTTTAACGCAGTAGATCTGTCGGGGAACGAGTTCATAGGAGATGGTTCGATGTTATTCGGACGAAACAAAACAACAATACGAGTGAATATATCTAGAAACATGTTCAACTTCGAGCTGTCCAAGATTAAGTTTGCTAGGACCATAGTGTCATTGGATCTGAGCCAAAACCACATCTACGGGAAGTTTCCAAAAAGGGAGCTGACTAAGCTACGCCTCGAGCATTTCAACGTTAGCCACAATTTTCTCTGCGGACCAATCCCACAGGGCGGTCTTCTTCAAACCTTTGAACCATCTGTCTACTCTCACAACATATGTCTTTGTGGGGCCCCGCTTAAGGCTTGTTAAACTAGGTTTTTAGTGGCGGGAGATGTATTAATTATGTCTTAAATTAAATCTATGATGATGTATGTGTTAAGTATTATCACCTATGTCTTTAAAATTATGAATGGTAAGAATGTTGTTGAGATATTCAAAGTGTAAACTTAACAACACCTATGGGATTCTAATTCTACAACATATACTCTCGTATTCTCAATTTAACTTGAAAAAAGTGTTTACTATGACATCTTTAACTATGTGACGGTTTCATCGTCTACTTACAACCTCAAATCATTCTAATTTAAACAATTAAACCTTTGTGCAAATGCATTACCGAACAATATGATTTCCACAAATAACAAGAGTAATAGTATACATTTCCGGTTAGGTGTGCTTTAAAGGTAGAGAATCCAAAAAATCTAAAGATCGGTAATGCAAACTTCGTAATGTAGTCATGTTGGGCTAGATAGGCCGGAGTTGTACTTGTTAATGGGCCTTCTTAAAGTACTCCAATACCAAAACGGATCGTTTCGTCTTTAAAACGAATGTTCGGCGATTCCGACGCAATCTCATCCGAGTCCCGGAGATATCGATCCTCGTAGCTCTGTGCCCTTTTCCGCTTTTATAACATCGTTTCTCTCTCGATAGATCAAAAAGTTCGTTTCTTTTTCTCAAATTCTTTCAATTTCTCTTTTCAATTTCGTTAATTTATCATTTCACCGAATCCGCATCGAACCCTAAAACCCCTTAATTGCTTTTTTTTTTCCGGGTCAAGTTTCGCTTCGAGCTTTCTAGGGTTTCGCATCTGAATCTGCGGAGAAGAAAAACCCCTCGTGTGGGTTTTTCCGTCAAATTTCTGGAAACAGAGGTATGTATAACGTTTCTTTGCCTCTTTTGAATCTTGTTCGAGCAATTAGTGCCTTGGGCGTTCAATTATCAACCTTGTGGTAGCTCATATGCTCATTGAGATACGTGGCTATTTAGGGTCCTGCCTAATTGAACAACTGTTGCGGCTAGTTTTAGGCATGGAAGTTTATAGAGAGGGTTTAGGGAATGGTTAACCCAGGTTAGGGTTTAGGGTTTCGAATAAAGTCTTCAGCTTTTCCTGATTTGATGAATTAGGGGAATTAGGGGAAATTGTGTGTTTCTTGTATATACTGCTGCAGCCTTTCTTTCATGTTAAATTAGCTCGAAGTAGTTCTACAAAATAAGAATTGCCTATGATAATCCTTATTATATTGCTCTTCTGTAGTTGGCTAAGTAATTTCATTATCTCATTGTATATTTTCTTTCCTTCTCTTTCAAAATTTAATTTTTTTTTACTGCGTTTAATCTCCTTGGAATAGAAACGGTAGCTTATTTGCTAATCGAAAGTCACACTGCCTATTGAGATGCCTTCCTGCTGTTCTCGTCGGGCTATTGATGTTATAGCTTACAATGTCTAGATCTTTCGCCAAAAGTTTCAAGTTTGTGTTTGTTAGGATATGGGTTGTATGGAGGCTTGTATACGGTCTTAAACTGGTAGTGATTGGATCTTAACCCTTGGAAAAAGAACACTGGAATTTTCTTTATATCTATGTAGCACTAAATGTTTGATGTGTGTTTAGTAATGCCATTCTTTCAACCAACACAAACATTGTGTGAACGTCTGTATTTTTTAGCTTTCTAAAGTATTGATGCCTCGTTGGTAACTGTTGTCCACCCGACTGTAAAGGTTTTAAAAAGATAGCTTTCATTTGGATGGGAAGTTTCTGTAATCACTAATCAAACTACATAGTGACATGGAGGCACAAATTCATCAACTTGAGCAGGAAGCATATACTGCTGTTTTAAGGGCTTTTAAAGCGCAGTCTGATGCAATTTCTTGGGTACTCTCTTCCTCCTTTGGGTTGATTAAGTTATGTTGTGTCAGTCTCATGACTAAATCTCTAGATTCTGTTGGTTGTACCATTTCCACAACTTAGGACAAAGAAAGCTTGATAACAGAATTACGTAAAGAATTGAGAGTATCTGATGATGAACATCGAGAGCTTCTGAGCAGGGTCAATAAGGACGATACTATCCAAAGGATAAGGTTAGATTATTTCTTTGCACCAACAAGTAGAAAACATTAACTTATCATGAATATCCGGTTATTTTAATACGTTGTATCCTGGAACTGTACCAGAGATTGGAGACAGGGAGGCGGAAGCCAAGCTTCTAGGCATGCAACTATTCAGGGTTTTGATGTTGTTCCTAGTCCAACTTTCTCAGCTTCCCGGAAGAAACAGAAGACATTCCAATCTGTAAGTCTTCTGTTTTAGTCGTAAGTGTGCTTTCTTCTGTTTTCCTCCACTGTGTTGTATCATGTTTTTTCTTAATCATTTACTGGCGATATGCGTGCAGTACCATCCATCAATTGGTGCGACTGGAAATAGATCATTCAATAACCGGGTAGTAACCGGTGGCGTATCAGCAAATGAACCTGCTGAAGCTCTTATCGGAAGAAAAGTGTGGACAAAATGGCCTGAAGACAACAACTTCTATGAAGCAATTATAACCCAGTACAACGCAGATGAGGTGCTATTTTTGTTCATTCATGTTTGAATGCTAATTGGGTAGAGAAATAATGTGCTGTGACTTCCAATTTTTCTAGAAGTCTTCAAATGTATATTGGTTTTATTGCATATCTAACATTTGAAATTGGCTTCAAGTGTCTTGTAATTCATACACTTTGTTATATTTCTCACAGGGTCGGCATGCTTTGGTGTATGATATAAACGCAGTGAATGAAACGTGGGAATGGGTTGATCTCAAGGAGGTAAGCTTTAAACAAATATATATCTTTATATGTGGCTACATAGCGGTATGGTGTTTTTACATGAGAATATTGATAAGAGCTTACATCACTATTGTAGATTCCACCAGAAGACATTAGGTGGGATGGAGAAGACAGTGGGGTAGCTTTAAACATTGGACATGGAGGTGGATCAATCCGTGGCAACCGAAGAACCCAAAGCCATATTGGTAGAGGGAGAGGACCGAGAATTCACCAACCGAGAAGAGAACTTGTACCTCCACCAACACAACAGAATGGTGGTGGTGGTCGTAGGACTTCTTCTGATGATATTGAATTGTTCAACACAGACTCACTTGTGAAGGAGGTAAGTTTTTTTTCATCTGTTGTGTTTCCATTAATCTCAATGGCTGTTCTAACATCAAAGTTTTGTCCAAGGTGGAGAGAGTTTTCGACTCTACACATCCTGATCCGCTCGAGCTCAATAAGGCCAAGAAAATGCTCAAGGTCTGAGATTAATACCCAATACCCTATTGTTATTGTGAGGGGTTTACTGTGTTGATCAGAGAGTAATAACACAAGTTGTGATGCAGGAACATGAACAAGCGCTTATTGCTGCAATTGCAAGGCTTGCTGATACCTCTGATGGTGAAATCGGTAATAATAACAGAAGCAGGCTTTGTTTAGTTTGCAACTTCAGAATAATCATTTATTTGCCAATCAAGGATCATTACAAACTTAATCCTATAAGAATAAGTCATCACACTCTTGCTCAGTTTGTAATTACAATAGTCTCCAACCTGTAAATACATGGATGAATAGCTTGTAGCATTAGAATACGAATCTTTTTCTCAAACCTCGGATTGTGTGCTTCTTTGCTGCAAATATGATCTGATTTTTCTGGTTTTACTGCTGCGAACTCAACAGATGGAGATCCACCATATTCGCATGACCATCCAATGCCACAGGGATGATGGAAAAGCTGTCTGGTCATCAACCTAAGGACTCTGGAGTTTAAATGAAACATTAACTGCTTACGAGATTGCGCAGAAGATGGAAACAGTCAAGTCTTCTTCTTGAAAAACTGTTATCACCAAAATGTATGAAAGATTATTAGGATTGGAATGTAGGATTTTGCTTGTAAGCATAGCATTTTGTTTAGAGAGTGTAACCTATGACTATGATTTGACCATGTAAATGTTCCTGAGTCCATCTCCAAGGAATAGATAATCAGACCTGCCATGAAATGCTTCCCCTTAAGTTTCTGTAAGATTATCCAGGTGAGATTCATGCTTAAAGGAACCTTGAACTAAACATGCATTATTACACAATCACAGGAGAAGCATCTGTTTTTCATGGAAAGAGTGGTAGATGGTGATGATATGCTTCAATGTTGGACGATTCAATGAAAGTGCTAAATTTCAGGTGTTGTATGCATTCAGACCACAGCCTTAGGAGCTAAATCGAATGCAGCAAACAAAGGAAACCATAGGAGAGTTGCAGAAAACACTTACCCTTTTTCTTTTTGCAGCCGATTCCAATCATTTTCGATCTGATCGGATCAGAGTGTTGTTGATTCCCTAGATGTTTTGATTACTGCATCGAATTCATCTGAGACTTCGGAATATGAGATTCTACACCAGTTTGGTCCCCATTTCGTTGTGATCCCTACGAGATTTGACGAAGTAAGACCCTGCGATTTGAAGATATTCAGGTTCCGAACAACTACTTGACATGATACCAAAAGAATTCCAAGTCGAGAAATCTAAAGCTAAAGAGCATGGATTATGAAAAAAAAACAAAGACACCTAGCTCATGAAGGTGATCTAGATTATCAAACCATGGGATTTTACCTGGAGACGAAGAAACGCTTGAGAGAATGCGAGATTGGATTTTCACTAGATTTCACCATGTAAGCTGAGAATCGGAAGATCGGGAGATTATGTTCATG